AACATCTGCAAGCCAAAGTAGCAGCACAGCGGAAAACTATCAAAAGACGGCGGAGACAGCCTCACCAAGCACCGTTATCGACTTCAAAGGCCCTTGAAGTTATCCGACCGCACGTCACCGAGGAGGTTTTTAAACTTCTTTCTGCACATGTTCGCTTGAGGCCCAAACGTAAGGGCAAGCGGTTTCCCGTGTGGTTCAAGAAATTTGCTCTTCACTTAAACTTCCGAGGTCCGCGAGCATACCGATTTCTGGCTCCATATTTTTCTTTGCCCTCCCGGCGTTCATTAAGCAGGTGGCTAGCTAATGTAAAGATGACTCCAGGCATGATTCCAGGAATCTTTTCTTCCATTGCAACAAATACTCAAGCTTGGAATGAACGGTACCGAGTGTGCGCTTTAGTTTTCGACGAAATAGCACTCAAAGAGAATTTGTACTATGATGCTGCAAGAGACGTTGTCCAGGGTTTTACAGATGATGGCACTCATCGCACTTCAACCATCGCTGATCGAGCACTGGTTTTTCTTCTTGTTGGCGTTTCGAGAAAGTGGGTTCAACCAGTTGCTTTTACTATAGGGCACACATCAACACCATCATCTGTTATGCATAACTTGCTGGTGTCACTCATTTTGGAGCTTAGGAGCATTATTATTGCCGTGAAAGCAGTCATTTGTGACCAGGGCAGTTCAAATGTAAGTCTCGCTAACCAACTAAGAGTGACAGTAGCAAAGCCTTTTTTTGAAGTTAATGGTGAGCGGGTATATTACATTTTTGATGTTCCGAATTTAATTAAAACAACGCGCAATAATGTCCAAGCACACAAGTTATACATTGGGGATGACATCATTAACTGGTCGCACATTGTAAGCCTTTACCAATCCTCACATGAGTTGCGGTGGCGATTGGCTCCAAAGTTGACTGAACGGCACGTTCATCAGAAACCTTTTTCTAATATGAAGGTCAGCAGAGCAACTCAGGTCGTCAGTGCATCAGTTTCGATTGCTATCACGGCATTGGTGTATGCGAAGGTGCTGCCTGCCTCGGCCATCACTACAGCTCAATTTTGTGATCGTATGGACAGGATTTTCGATGCCTTGAACAGTTCGAGTAACAAAAGAACTTCGCAAATGCTGCGGCATGCAATCATGAAAAATGATTTAGAGCTGATTGTCTTCCTCCGATGCCAGCTTCCCTGGATTGCATCATGGCAGTTTGTTGGCAGACGTCAACCACAAACCATCGTAGGTTGGCAAATTACAATTCAGGCAATTTGTCAACTATGGGACGACCTCTCCAAAAATTACAATGTTGAATACCTGTTAACACGCAGGCTTCAACAGGATCCTCTGGAGAACATATTTGGCCACATTAGGCAAAAACAGGGTTGCAACACCAACCCCAATGTAGCACAATTTATTTGTGGCCTGAAGCACATCTGTATAAGAAAACTCTTCAAGCTGTCAGAATACGGAAATGTCAAGGATGATGAATGTGACGCCCTCCAGGAGCAGCTCTCGCCATTCTCCCTCACCAGTGCGTCTCTAGTGGATAATGAGGAGTGTGCACAGCCACAGCCTGACGACTTTCCCGCTCTAGACGATCTCTCTGAACTTGCGACAAACGTTCACTCCCATATTATCGATGACTCCGCTGCATATTATGTAGCTTGTTTTCTCATCAAACACTTCATTCGGAATGCATGTGACGGTGTTGCAGTTGCCCACAGTTACTGAAAGACGACAGTGAGACGTTTAAGGGTACCCACCAGTATTTCACAATGCTCAAAGCATACCACGTCCCCAGCAAACTTTTTGGGAATCTCACTGTGCCATCAGAAGCAGCTTTTGCATACGTACAACAACTTGAATCTCACTTTCTTGCCATAATTGAGGCCACTGCACATCACCTGAAAGTGTGCGATGTTTTGTATCACCATCTGTCAAGTGTTGGCGACTTTCATTTCTGCTCTGCTGGGTGTCGCGAGAAGTTTCTGAAATGTTTTGCCGGGTTCGTTTATGTTGGCATGTGCGTTTTGTGAACCAAAACTTAGATAGGGTTAGGTTCCAGTCTTCAATCTCAGGCATACAGCTTGACAAGTTCAAAGGTTAGCAATTAGCGGCGGGTTTACACTAAAGTATTCGAGTTGAGCCGAATCCTGCAATAGCTTTGTTATGTTATTACTTCGTTAAAGCAGACTTCATTATGGTCTTATATGCTTATATTCAGCTCAACTGGACTAGCCACTCCTTCGTTGCATACATTGTTTAGGTTACCCGATATGAGGAGTAGGGACACTGTGTATTCGCTCGAAGTGATTTGCATAACTTTAAAAAGAATGTTGGGTATCCTGTCTGTATTTTTGTAGCAAATGTGGGCGAACTGTACACTTTACTGTGGCTCGCTTGGTCACTGTGTATGCTTTATCTCTCCAGCTCAAGCAATATATTGATAACAAAACCGCTTGTTGAAATGTCTTCGAGCGGGTAAGGAACACAGTATGAAGTGGGCACGGTTCACGTTATCACGCTTTTTGTATTTTAGCTTCTCATCAACCTCCTCATGTCGCCCATCAAAATTTTCAAAAGAATACTCAAACTTGTAGCGTTTGATGGGGCTGTGGACGCTGCCATTTTATTTTTATATAGCTTTTGAGTGATAACGTACGATGTAGATCCTTTGTGAAAAATAATGAGCCAAAGTGGTTTCCTTCGATCTGCTATTTATTAGCCCTGTAATACCGCTCTCGTAGCACCAAATAAGGTCCACAATTCTGGATAAGTGATGACTACAATCTATTTTAGCTCGCAAGCGTCACAGCAACACCCAGACGCAAATCACTTGGGATCTTAAGTTTTTGATGAAGGCGACGCATAACAAAAGCCACAAAACCTGCCAGTGTTGTAGCATAAAGTTTGTCTTCACGTAGTGAGCAAGCTGCAAAGCCCTACCTTTCTGAGGACAAGCAGGTCTTAGTCTGCTTTTTTTCATTTTGGACTAGCTGTTCTTAAGCACAGCCAGCACACTGCACCTTTGCCTTACTGCTATATTGTGTCGTGTGGTTTCTGTGTGCTCTTTTTTTAAATGCATTATTTCGGTTAACCCCAGGCGTGATTCGCGACTTCATTGCTGTGTATATGTCACTTCTTCCTTCTTCATCAGCATTGTGCGCTGTGTTTTTGCCATAGTTCCTTACTTACCCACTGGCCCGGTGTGTCATACTTCACCAGCTTCTCGGCTTCTGCCAACTCTAGCGATGTGTGCGTTGTCTGTGTTCTCTCTGTATTTGTTACAATTTATTTGTAAGGCGAGATGCACTTGTTGTCTACCTTTGTCATATTGTGCTTTTTATATTCTCAGACTCTACCTTGCCTTTGAATAAAACATTACGGATACTCTGTCTCTTTGACTGATATATACATTGATCACACGTTCCAAAAGAAAAACACAAGCGCGATGAATAAAACCGTAGTGAATTATTATTACCTGCATCTCTTTTTATTATAACTTAATCAAAATAAAAATTACGTCACGACCGATTCGCACGAACCACTGAACAAAACAAAACAGGGAATCGCTAAATCAAAACGACCTACAAAAACTATCCATTTGGGCGATGAATAGTGGTCTGAAATCATGAACTTTCGTCATAGCCAAACGTCGGTTATGCAAAGTAATTCAAAATTTGCGCCAGCGAAACCGAAACAGGAAGCGCACGCCACTTCCTCTCACCAACCACTAGGTGTGCTAGAGTCGATTGGGCCGCTGGGGTCTACGGGAGTGTCCACTCTTAACCTTTATTTCTCTATGAACATACCACGATCATAGCGTGCTCGCGGCCGTTCCGCTAGCTTCACATATACTAAATTTGGCCTGACTGACGTGAATAGATGACGAATTCGAACGACACACACAAACATGATAATCATGACACGGACGTCGTGTACGGCATAATTTACCTCCACGTCGTAACGTTGTGGCGATCTTGAAGTGACACATCAACATTCCTCATTCGTGCTTCGCATATCATCGATTCCCACTGTACGTGAGATCTGCTAATTTTTTCTTGGCCTATTCTCATCTGTTTCACCATTTCCTCTCTTATTTCAGCTCATTTCCTTCCTCTGGTTCATTTTAACGAACAGAGTTTTCGCCTAACAATCACCTCTGTTATGCTTACCAGCTCTTAGCGTTGTGTGTGCCCTGTTGAACAGTTTTACTTGGCTATAGTAAGAGGCCAAACAGCCCACACATAACCATCAAAAATACAATGGCTCTAAATAAAGTCGAGTTTACGGCACTTAACCACATATAAGTGTTAGAGCACAACTTGGAGAGTAACAAACTATACTCAAGAAAAATAAATCTCCGTGAACCTGTATCATAGCAATTAGGTCATATTGAGAAAACTTTTAAAATTATATGCCATGAAATCTCCGCTTTGATAGCAAGTGATTTAGAACCTAACACCAGTTCTCTCGTGTTTTCTTGTCAAGGACTAAAAGACAAATTAACCTTTTTTATGAGAGAAACAGGCAGCCTTTTCAGGCCTAAAGAGAGCTCTTTTTGTTCATAAATGTTATTCGCTACAGTAGTTGCAGCTTCCTATTGGCATTGGCTTTATCACGTAGTCTGGTGTATTTGTAGCTCATAGAAAAACGTTGATCACTGACCTGTCACTAAGTACTCTTTATCACGACTAGAATCTGCCGATCGTGATGCAAAAACTACCTTTTATGATTGAGCTTCATTTTTCCTGTAGTTCACATGAATTTTCGAAGCCGCCTTGAAGCACGTATACAAGGTACTTCTATTAATTTCTCAAAACGCTAAGCCTCTAAATGTGTGTAAAGAATTCGATGCCAATTATTTGGGTGACTGATAGGTTTCGATAGCTGGTGTGGAAACTAGTGAGAAGAAAAACCAAAACAAGGAACCTTTACCATCACTCTTCGTCATTCATTGGTGTTCGCATAATATATTTTACCTTAAGATCAAGCACTTACCCGACGTGGACGAGGAATGGGGCTTGGCGGCTGCGGAGGCTGAAATATACAGCATGACTATTGGGAACGATATGCCTGCTGACGCATAATTACAATAGTATACATTTTTCAGCAGCAGTGTTCATAAAGTTTGAGTGACAATTAGCTTTTTAACGATACTCCATATAGGGCATACTTCGTAGGAAAATCAACAAATTATGAAGCCAAGAAAAGTGTAGGGCACGTTATTAAGCGCAGCTGTGACCCGCGCAAGCCTTTCTGCTGTTTGCGTGAAGTTAGAAACCTTGTTTCGAAATTGCACCACTTGGCTTCTCTCTCACGTTCTCATAAATAGGATTAGCTATTTTATGTGTGTCTGTGTGTGCGTATATATGTGTGTGTTGGGGGGTGTTGGTGACCTGAACCCATTTTTATCAGCGATCTTCGAGAAATTGTGATGCCAAGCGAGTCTGGCAGCTCGTAAGTTTCTTCAAAATATTGTCGCCAACGAAAGAAGTCTTGCCATCACAGGAATGTGCACCGCACGCATCACAATCGCCGATCACCCCACATCTGTTCTTTTGCAGTTATTGAGCAGTGCCAAAATGAACTGATTCTTGGATTGGATTTCTTGTCCACTCATGCCGCTCTCATCGACTGTGCAACCGGCGTTCTCCAACTTGAACTGCCTCGAATTGGGGCTGTGCCGTCCTCACCGTCACACCGCTTGTGCGCTATTTATTATGTTCGGTTGTCACCGCAAGCCACCACGTTTGCGGCCTTAACGATATCAGCAGCTCTTCCTGACGGTGACTACATAGTGTACTCTTGGCCCGAAATATTGCGGTGCCGCATACCATTGTGACTATCGGGGACAACTACGTTCAGCTTCCGCTCCTCAACTTTAGTAGTGCGAGCCAAGTTCTCCCGCAAGGTATTTTGTTAGCTCATGTTTCCCCACTTGATGCATGTAGCATCGTGGCATTAGACCCTGAAGAATCCTCCTTCCCTATTGAAGCCAGCCAAGCAAACGCACCTACCGACAAAATCACGATCATGATTGCCCCCTATCTTCTGCCCCGTCAGAATGTGCAACTCCACCACGTTCTGACCACCTACCGAGATATTTTCGCCATAGATTACCACCCTTCAGGTCAAACGTCCATCGTGCGTCATCAAATACATACCGGCGATGCTATTCCTGTTAGACGGCGACCATATCGTGTTTCCCAGTCTAAACGCCAGGTCATACAATGATAAGTCGAGAAGATGCTCTCCAAAGGAGTCATAGAGGCCTCTTCAAGTCCAAAGGCGTCACCTGTTGTTTTAGTCAAAAAGAAGGACGGCAGTTGGAGATTTCGCGTTGACTACAGTGCCTTGAACAAGATAATCCGCAAGACGTATATCCGCTGCCACGAATCGACGACGCCCTTGTCTGCCTTCATGGCGTGCGATACTTTTTATCTATAGATCTGCGTTCGGGCTATAGGCAAATTTCTGTCGATGACTTAGACCGAAAAAAAACTGCTTTCGTCAATCCGGATGGTCTTTATCAATTCAAGGTTATGCCTTTTGGGCGGTGCAACGCCCCGGAAACCTTCGAACGCATGATGGACTCTCTCCTCCGTGGTTATAAATGGTCCATCTGCCTCTGCTACCTCGACAATGTGATAGTTTTTCCCCAACACTTGAAAGCCACCTAACTCGTTTGTCGCCCATTCTAGCCATTTTCCGTCAAGCGGGGCACTAGCTGAACTTGAAAAAGTGCAATTTCGGCCGACAAGAAATCATGGTGTTTGGTCATCGCGTAAGTGCTGCTGGAGTCCAACCGGACCTTGACAGGATTAGCGCAGTGAAGAACTTTCCACTGCCTTCTTCGACCAAAGATGTTCGTTGTTTTGAGGACTTAGTCTCGTACTTCCGACGTTTTATACGCAATTTCGCTACAATTGCACGACCACCAACTGGTCTTCTCAAAAAGAACGCGCTATTTTCATGTGGCCATCGACCTGCTCGTCTCACCACCAACACTGGCTCACTTCGACCCGTCCGCGACGGCTGATGTTTGTACAGACGCCAGTGCTCATGGCATCAGCGCCGTCCTCGCTCACCACCATGGAGGCCAAACGCGTGTTATCGCCCATGCAAGCTGCCTTCTCTCCACATCTGAGCGAAACTATTCGATAACGGAGCACGAGTGTCTTGCACTGGTCTGAGCTGTAGCGAAATTTCGCCCCTATTTGTAAGGCCGGGAGTTTTCAGTTATTGCGGACCACCACGCCCTGTGTTGCTTGTCGTCGCTCAAGGATCCAACTGATCTCCTAGGTAGCTGGGCTCAACGTCTTCAGGAGTATAACTTCGACGTAATTTATAAGTCTGGCAGGTTGCACCAAGATGCCGATTATCTCTCGCGTTATCCGGTAGACTCTGCTAGCCTCGCTGTCCATGAGAGCGATTCTTGTGTGCTCGCCACACTTGATTTGCGCGACATCGGTACAGAGCAGCGCCGGGATGCAACCCTCAAGACGGTCATTGAGCGAATATCTTCAGGACATTTCAACAGTTCGCTCCGTCGATATGTCCACCACAACAAAATTTTGTAGCGCCACAACATGAAGACTGGTGGCCCGGAATGTTCGCTAGTTATTCCCCGACGCCTACGTGCAACCATTCTTCAACATCTGCATGATGCTCCGATGGCAGGACACGTGGGATTTTCACACACCTATCACCGCGTGCGGTGACGGTTCTTTTGGCCTGACCTGTATAAATTTGGCGCCGCTATGTCGCTGCTTGCGAGCGCTGCCAGCGTCGCAAACGTCAAGCTGTCCGTACGGCTGGCCTGCTTCAACCTATCAACGTTCCCCCGGAACCATTCTTCCGCGTTGGTCTCGACTTGCCCGGTCCTTTCGCGACGTCCGTATCAGACAACAAATGGATCGCTGTCGCAACTTACTATGCGACTAGATACGCTATAACTCGTGCCTTGCCAAGTAGCTGTGCTACAGACGGCCCAAACTTTCTACTGAATGACGTCCTTCTGCGGCATGGTACTCCACGCCAGCTTCTGATGGATCGTGGCCGCTGCTTCCCCGCAAAAGTTATCGGCGAAATCCTCCGTAGCTGCTCTACCGAACATCATCTTACTACTTCCTATTATCCGCATACCAACGGTCTCACGGAGTGTCTCAACCGAACTCTTACAGCCACGTTGTTCATGTCTCTTCTGGCCACCATGACTGGGACGCAACGCTCCCCTACGTTACGTTTGTATACAATTCATCAAGGCATGACACCGCCGGCTATTTTTCGTTTTTTCTTCAGTACGGCCGCAACTCTGCGTTGCCATTCGACATACTCCTTCCTTCTGATACCACCGAACCAACGGTGTATGCTCAGGACGTTTCTTCTCAAGCCTGCGTCGCTCGCCAAATGACGCACACTAGTCTCACTGCTTTTGAGGCCTCACAAGAAGTCCGCTACGATGACTGGCACTGCAAGGTTGTCTACCCGGCTGACTCTCTCACTCTCCTTTGGACGCCGCATCGAAGTGATGGCTTGTGCGAGAAGCTCCTCCCACGATAAACAGGCCCCTACAAAGTTCTCCGCAAGGTCAATGACGTTGACTACCTCATGACTCCCGTTCAACCACACTCGTCTTCTGCCACACCACCTACTGATGTTGTTCATGTGTCACGACTAAAACGGTACTATACTACCAGTCCTAATTGACTTAGCGGTGCCGTGACGATGCTTAGTTCGCCGGGGATGATGTTACGAGGCAGTGAGCATAGCCCCACCGTCGTAGGCTAACCGAAAAGGAAGAACTGTACTGAGCGCGCAAGAGGCTGGCAGCCTGGGTGGTTCCCACCTACTTGTAAATAATGGCATTACGCTCATTTCTTTCTTCCGTGTGCTTGTAATCACCATAGCAATATGATATAAATGCACTCAGTAAAAATGTAACTTGTTATGTGGAGACATTCAACGTGGAGTCTGCAAAACCAATTGCCCATCTTTGAAACAGAGAGCTCAAAGTTAGGCGGGCATCGTCACCTATCCCCGCCTTTGCATCATCACAACCACCTCTACCAGCTCATAGTTCACCACCTCACCAACCTGTCCTCTGACACCCGTGTTTTCTGCACAAACTATCGTCATGAACTGTCCTCACTTTAGCATGTAATGCACGATTGAACCAATAGGTGTCAGTTCTTGTCTCACTTCACCACGTACACGCAAGTGTGAGATACCTTTACTGATTAACTTTACTGTAACGTGAGTGTGTCATGTAACTACATGCCACACTCACGCTGCCCTCACGGCCATTTCGCTAAGGTCATATATACAAAATTTGGAATTACGGTACGTGAATGGAATGCAAAGACATGCGACTGGTGAAAACATGACAATGATAAAATCCGTGTCGTGTAACAACATCAGGCCAAGCACATGATGCGCTGGAGGCAGTTTCGCTAGCTTGACGTATACCAAATTTGGTATTAGAGGACGCGAATGGATGACGATAGTATGAAATTTGTGCAAACTTCATTAAAATGAGATTCGCGTAATGTAACAACATGACTTAATGCTACGCTCACCATGCGCTCGCGTTCGTTTCGCTAGCTACACACGTACCGAATTCGGTATTACATGACGCGAACGAATGACGTAGGCCAATGACACATCCAAACATGATAACCACGACATGCGCGTCATGTAACAACATGACTACGTGCCGCACCCATGATGCGCTCGCGGCTGTTTCGCTAGCCTTACTTATGCCAAAATTGCAATTATGTGACGTCAATGGATGACGAAAGTATGTGACTGGCACAAACATGATATTCACTAAATTTGTCTATTCTGAGAACATGACCACATGCCACAGTCAAGGCGCCAATGCATCTCGAGGTGACGTGGTGCACGTGTTCGCCATGTTCATTTCGTCGCGTCATGCCGGCGTTGCCACGCCAGGCAGGCGCCGGTCCAACCTTATACTTGCAGGAGCTAGCCGATCTGCGTTGCGTTGACGCATGCGCGTTCTAGCGCATCCGGCCTCCCTCCGTCACGAAAAGATGCAGACGCAGTGCTGTCTGGGTAACACATCAGCGCGAAATATAGCATGTCACATTTTGCGCCGGTTGCGATCGGGCCGCGCCGATGGACGCTGTTTGCGTCGGTGGTGCCTGGCGTGAAGCTAGAGAGTTTGCTAACGTATACACTCTAAAAAAATATCGAATAAATAGGGTGATTTTTGTCCCACAACAATGATCGTCATCAGCCTTGCGTGCGCTTCCTTTCTTGAAAACTCGGTGCTGGTCACTTTCCTATCGAGAATGCAATGTAACCTTGATAACGGGCATGTCGATTATGACCAGAATGTACCGGGCGCGGGGCGATAGCGCAAGAATGGAGCGCAATATAAATGACGAATATTGTTGTGGGACAAAAAGACACTCCTTTTACTCGCTCTTTTTTTAGAGTGTAGTGTCGCTGTGCCCAGCGTGAGCACGCGTGAACGTCACGTTAGAGTATATTGGGCCTTTCACAATGCAGTCGCGGCTGTTTCGCGAGATCCAGATATGCCAAATTTCGTAGCACATGACGACAATGAATGACGAAGGTATATTATTGGTGAAAACATAACAATCATGACACTCGTGTTATACAAGAACAAGACAACATACCACGTTCATAGCGTGCTCGTGGCCGTTCCTTCAGCTTCAAATATACTAAATTTGGCATTACGTGACGTGAATAGATGACGACGGTGAACGACACATCCAAACATGATAATTATGACCCGAAATTTGTGTACGGCATAATTTACCTTCACCTCGTAAAGTTGTGGCGATATTAAAGTGACAAATGAACATTCCTATTTCGTGCTTCGCATTTCATCGATTCCCACTGTACGTGGGATCTGCAAATTTTTGTCTACTTATCCTCATCTGCTTCACCACTTCCCCTCTCAATTCAGCCCGTTTCCTTCCTCTGGTCTACTTTAACGAACAGAGTTTTGGCCTAACAATGACCTCTGTTATGCTTACCAGCTCTTAGGGTTGTGTGTGCCCTGTTGAACTGTTTTACTTGGCTATAGTAAGAGGCCGAAGAGCCCACACATAACCATCAAAAATGCAATAGCTATAAATATGTCGAGTTTGCGGCACTTAACCACATGTAAGTGTTACAGCACAACTTGGAGAGTATGTAACAAACTATACTAAAAAAACAAACTTCCATAAACCTTTATCATAGCAATTAGGTCATTTTGAGAGAGCTTTTAAAATTATATACCATGTAATCTTCGCTTTGATTCCAAGGCATTTAGAACCTAACACCAGTTCTGTCGTGTGTTCTTGTCAAACACTGAAAAACAACTTAACCTATTTTCTTGATAGAAACAGGCAGCCTTTTCAGGCTTAAGGAGAGCTCTTTTCGTTCATGACAGTTATTTGCTACACTTGTTGCAGCTTCCTATTGGCATTGGCTTTATCACGTAGTCTGGTGTATTTGTAGCTCATAGAAAAACGTTGATCACTGACCTGTCACTAAGTACTCTTTATCACGACTCGAATCTGCGGATCGTGATGCAAAAGCTACCTTTTATGATTGAGCTTCATTTTTCCTGTAGTTCACATGAATTTTCGAAGCCACCTTGAAGCACGTATACAAGGTAATTCTATTCATTTCTCAAAACCCTAAGCCTCTAAACGTGTGCAAAGAATTCAATGCCAATTATTTAGGTGGCGGTTAGTTTGAATGACTGGCGTGGAAAATAGTGAGAAAAAAATCTAAACAAGGAACCTTTACCATCACTTTTGGTCATCTTTTAGTGTTTGCATAATACATTTTACCTTAGAATCAAGCACTTACCTGATGTGGACTAGGAGTTGGGCTTGGTGGCTGCGGAGGCTGAAATATACAGCATGACAATTGAGAACGGTATGCTTGCGGACGCGTAATGACAACAGTGTACATGGTTCATCAGCAGTGTTTATAAAGTTTGAGTGACAATAAGTTCCTTAACGATGCTCTACGTAAGACGTCCTTCGTAGGAAAACCAACAGATTATGAAGCCCAGAAAAGTGTAGGGCACGTTATGAAGTGCAGCTGAGACTCCGAGCAAGAATTTGTGCTGTTTGCGTGAAGGTAAAAAACTTGTTTAAAAATTGCATCACTTGGCTTCTTTCTCATTTTCTCATAAGTAAGATTAGCTATTTTGTGTGTGTCTCTGCGTGTGTATATGTGTGTTTGTTGGGGGGGGGGTGTTGGTGACCTGAACCCATTTTCATCAGCGAACTTATAGACATTGTGATGCCAAGCGAGTCTGGCAGCTCGTAAATTCGATCAGAATATGATCTAAATGCACTCAGTAAAAATTTAACATGTTATGTGGAGACATTCAACGTATATTCTGCGGAAGCGAATTGCCTATCTTTGAAACAGAGAACTCAGAGTTAGGCGGACATTGTTACCAATCCCCGCCTTTGCATCCTCAAAACCACCACCACTAGCTCATAGTTCACCACCTCACCAACCTGCCCTCTGACACCCGTGTTTTCTGCACAAACTATCGTCATGAACTGTCCTCACTTTAGCATGTAATGCACGATTGAACTAATAGGTGTCAGTTCTTGTTTCACTTCACCACGTACACGCAAGTGTGAGATACCTTTACTGATTCGAAAAACCACTGACGCGGAAAGCAGACTAGTAAGTATGGAAGTTAATAATGCCGTTGTGCAACGCAAACAAGAGTCAGGGAGATGTCGACATGGCGCTAGCAGCGTGTTCTATGCAGTTGAAAAGCAAGATCGCAGTCTTTCCGAAGGCATTCCTAAAGCCCACTACATGATGTCCGCTGAATCCTTTCATGGTCAGTTTTGTTCACTTGTATACTTGCGTCACTTACTTTGCTCTCAAAGAGCATAGCCGCCATGCTAAGTCTGTAGTGGAATCTTCTTAAAGAAAAGCCTGGCGCCATCACTCGCTCACATAAGGCTTCATGCACACTACGTGAACGAAATCAGGACGGGGCTGGTGATGCCTTCTGCTATATCAACCGTCGGAAACGATTTTTTAAGTAACATCGCTGCCCAGTTGGCATGATAACCGCTAGGTCTTGTCTAAAGTAACTGTAGGTATCGACCCGCTAGGTATTGTCTAAAGTAACTCTTCTGCAGTTCTTGGAGGTGTTCAGTGTAAAGTTGTGATGTGCGGTGTTTTCTAGAGATTTCACTAACTACTTAGTGAGTCGGCATGAATGTTGTACACATCTGCGGTGATGCAAAGTTATGCAGCAATTCCATTTCTGCGCTGCACATAACAAACAAATCAGCCATCAAGCGTTAAATTGTCCGCAGGACGGAGTGATTAAAATGAGAATTTTTAAATAAGAAAATTATTAGACTGGCTTTCGGAATTAGCTACTAGATAAACAAATAGGAACACGATCAGGGCCTCAGCTGGGTGAAGCACTCGTGTGTCTCATTCAAATTGCGAAGTGTGTAAAGGCAGCAGGTTAGAATGCCCGTCCCTGTTTTCTGTTTTCCCGTCTTATCTGAATTACTTCTTTTGTCACAGTGGACAAGTTTACGTAATCTTTACAAAGTGTGCATGACCTTTTCAAATCGCATTTAAAAATTCAACTGTAATTTGAAAGTGTTACATCGGCTACATTTTTTACATTTTCATCTCACGCAGAGAGTGAGAGAGCGGTGGTATTTTGTCCTAAATTACGTTATCGAAAGTTTGTTTTGATGCCTCGACGCATTGTAGCAAGCGGCAATTTTGTCGCTTGCTACAATGCAAAATTATCGTACGAAGTGCGTCGTAGCCGTCGTAGCGTTCGCTTCTGGGCAGCCTGTTGTGGTTGAACCAAAAATAGCGAAAACAAAAGAACGTGAAATGCTTTTGTGGCTGCCTTACGTCACACAAGAGAGCAATTGGATTAACATGTTGTTTTTGACTAACTTGATATTTGTAATCGCAATTTGTGGGTATGCTCGAGATAGTTTTAATTCAAGCAACAATGACGCTTTGTCTCTGACAACCGGTTGCAGTCGTCGCTGGGCAACGGCGCCACAAAGAAAGTTTGTCGCTGCCGCTTGTCGCTGTCGCTAGGAAATCACGTGCATGCGGTTAGGGCTTTAGCGATTCTGATCGCTTCGAGAATGGCAACGTCAACAACGACGAGGGGCGACCCAATGAAACCAAACACAAACGTTGGCAGTGGTAAACCAGTGATACCGATGAGGTGCGAGTCAAGAACAGCAATCAAGTTCGAGAATACAGACGGCGCGCGGGTAACACCGACGGGGCACGAACCAAGGAAGCCGATCGCAAACGGCTTCAACGCCTCCCATCCTTTGCGTTTGAAACAAACGTTTACTCGAGTAAACGCAACACCATGATTTGCTTCGAACCGGTTTTCCAGAACCCGCGTCGACGCCAGTTTCAACCAGGTCAACACCGTGTGCATCACTGTTGCTTCACAGGCCTCCGCAAGCCTACGTGACGTCATCAGTGTGAGATCCGCCTGGAATCTGGCTTCACTCAAATGACCGGCACACGTTCACGTTTTGTCGTTCCGCGGCCCAGTTGCACTCGTAGCATTTTTTTCTCAGAGGTTCACACCTAGAAGCAGGCCCGTGGCCAAGGGGGGAGGGGTTAGGAGGCCCCCTTCCAAATCCGGATGGGGGGGGGGGGGCTGTTTTACTGAGAATAAATAGTGAAAATGGGGGTTTGTCAAGGACTTCAACAGGTGCCCCTCCACCCGAAAAACTAATTTTTGGCTACGGGCCTGCCTAGAAGAAATTTTGTTAGCAACAGGTGTAAATGTTATAGACCCCGAAACGTTTTTGATATTTACACCTATATTTGCAATTGTAGCAGAACCTTGTGATGAGCTCATCGTGCAATGGACAAGTTCACTACCTAGCAGCAGAGCAGTGGTAACGGGAAACGAAAATAAGTCTATTGGCTATAATATCACACGTGAGAAAGTGTGCCTCAGTGAGTTATGATTATACTGAAGTAAGGCGCGTTATCGGACTCGTTGGTTTATGTAACGTTTTTGGCGGCATTGGAGGGTCTATTTTGCATTTCAGTAAATGGACCAGAAGATTTGTGTGCAAAACAAGAATGCATGTTTTATTATATAAAATGCTTTTAAAACCAACCAACAATGAAATAAAACCATTGAACGAGGATTCATGCGAAGTTTTTCACATACGATATTTTCATAAAAAGTAAAATAAAGCAAACGTGACATTACCTGTAAAATCTTTTCGACACTTAGTTGACTTATTTTCAGTAGATGTAATTGAACACACACAAAATGGGTTAGATATGATCTATTGAAATCTTCAAATGATTCTTCCACATAACAGCTCAAGTGCCAAAAGAAAGGCAATGTTCACAGCAAAACGAAAAATGTGACAATACTTCAAAAATTGTGGAGATAAAGCTTTTAACATTTTTTAAAATGATCTTGTAAAAGGATTTGAAACTGGGAGCTCAAACGATACGGCTTTATAAACACAAAGGACAAATCATCGTTCATGTGCGAGAGATTACGCCTGGAGTGTCTTCAGTTTCCGTTTAGCTGCTTTGGCTTCAGACAGCTTGTTGTTTTCTCGTTTGCAAAGGTTGTTTAACAAAGTGTTGGCTGCTGCACTATGTACCCCATCACTACATGTGGCGTATGGTCATTGTCACAACCATCAAAGTCTTCATTCCACTCAAGGAAGAGTGTTGTCATTGAAACAAGCAGTTCTTTCTGCTTTTCACAGGCATAAAATTTGGCTTCGTGTTTTTCACTTGTCAGTTTCTCGAGAACAATATTCATCATCAGTACGCCGTTCACAACGATGACTTGGTGCAAACTTAAGTCCACCTCTTGTGATACTCGTTATGAGCTCCTTCTGCCTCAATTGTAAGAGTCCTACTCTCAACAACTAGATTCTCTTTACAGAATGCACGTTTAAGCTTCTTCAGTGCAGCATGTGCGCAATAACCAGCACCATAAGTTGTAGCTGGAAGTGTGTGCTGCTTTGCAGCAATGTCCTCTTCTCCAACTACAATCTGGAATTGCTTTAAATCATCACGAAATTCATCAGTGGAGGCACATAGAGGAATCTCGTCACTCTCTGTCAGCTCGAGGACCTTCTGCAGCCTCAATTTGTGCTCCGCTTCATACATCTGCCGTATGAAGATATGGTACTGTGCGCCACTTAACTGTCGATACCTGCCAAACCTGTCTTCAAGGCAGTCCGACTGGAATTTTCTCAGTAAGACGTACCTGAATCCAAGCTTTTCAAGGCAGTAGCTTGTCACCTGAACAAGAGCAAGAGACGTGTGACGCAATGCATTGTGCGTCGCATGACTGAAATGACCAGTGTCATGCTTCAGGCTTTTCCAGTAGTCGAGCCAACTGACTATTTTGTTCAAAAACTCAACTTGGGGGCAACAAACTGCCTTTATCGGCTCTTGTAAGTCATCTCGAAGGTGCCTCCCTTTATCTGGCGTCTTAACATTCACTATGCGCCACCACATTATGACAGTGCTGATAAAATCGGCCGTGCTTTTGGCATGCTGCAGTTCTGCTGCTTGGGCACTGTTGAGAGCTGCGATTGTGAAACTGCTGAACACCTTGAGAACAGGTTTCATGTTTTGTCGCTCTAAGTTAGAAGGTTTCAGTGCCTTCAAAGACAAAGTTGGAGCAAGTCGTACAAGCTCAATTCTTTCTCTCTCATGGATCTCTAGCAGCGTGTTGAATGAAGCTGTTAGCACGCACGGCTTGTCAAGTAGTCCATTGATGTCTGGAAAAAACATACATTTACCACTGTTACGCTGGTTAAGCCAATTGTTTCGTATGCATTTTAAAACATGCACAGAATCTAAAATAAAAACAGTGATCTTGATTGGTCTGATGGATGCTTGTAGACCGTATCAACCTTCCGTGGCTCTGAAAAAAATGACATTGCCTTCCCATTGATGGAGTTGTTGTCTGAAACAACCGCGATTACTCGAAAGCCTGTGTAGCCTCCAGCCCAATAATGAGCTCACGAAGAAATTGATGCAGCTGTATCGCATCTCTTTTCAGCCACTGGAAGGATGTGCACTAGGTCTTTGCTTGACGACAGGAGGCTTTGAATCATAAACACATATGCAGTTTTTGCAGTGTTTTGACTGTTTGTAGCCATTCCTACTAGACCACCACCTTTGTAGTCTATGTAGGGCTGCAGATGAATTACGTCCATGACAAGCGTCACAGTTTTTTTGTGGTCATCTATTCCTACGGCCAGCCTCTTTGCATACGACAGAAATAAAGCATCTTGTTGCTCAGAGCATGGGTTCACACGGTATGACCCACAAGCACGTCTAATTGTGTCGGGATGTGGAAGTTTCAACGTTGAGTGTGGACCTAATAAATCTGTACGCATGTGTAGATATTGTGAACACAAGGCTAGCAAATACCAGTAAGTCCACAGGGTATCTCGAAGTTCTGCTCAGTAAAATGCCGGCTTGCTGTTTTACGAACTTCACAACTTCCACTTGCCACTCATGCGGGAAACTTTGTGACGTTAGTTCATCCAGTGTTTTCATTGTCAATCTGCAAGCGTTCTTCGCTGTCGGAGAAGTTTCCTGCCAAACTTTGCACAGCAATAAAGACCTTGTCGATTTCCCGCAGATCACACAAATAAACAGGAAGCACGAGGGTCCTAAGCTTGTTAAGTTGCACGTCACCAACGAACACTTTCACGAATCAAATCAGCTGACACTGTCACAGAAAAACGCACAGTTGAAGCTTCTTGAGAATCGAAGTTTAGGAAGAGGACTTTGTCGTGAGTAACAAGTCTTGTCCAGAAGGTGTTTGTCTAGGAAACTTGTCAGAGCGGTGAGCGAGTCTTCAAAAGTACTGTATGTTATTCTTTTTTTTCTCTTCTTTGTGAGCTTCAGCGGACTGCCTTATTGCCTTCTTTAGCAATTCTCCCTCTAGACGAAGCCGCTTCTCTTCAGGACCTTCCCGGACAACAGTAGTAGGACGAGAAAGATACGAAGGGCAGTTTGGAAATAGGCTCGGGATAGCACCAGGCTTGAGTCGTCTCAGCTGGAGAGGAACTTTAAGTACTTGTCCGGTTTTCTCATCTTAGATAGGTCGACGTGATCACAAAATCACTTGTATCAAAGTGCTTCTCACACACCTGAAAAAAAAGAAAAATGAAACAGATCTTATAGCACAAAAATCAAGCAAGAAAAAGTTAGTGGACATTCTTCAACTACATATCAGAAAATGTGGCTGTATTATTAGGCATTATCCTAATAGCAATGCCTTGTTAGGCGGCCCAACAGGCGAGCACTGTTTATTAAATCTAAATCTCATAGGATTTATCAGGCGCTGCAGTTCGTTTAGAGTGACTCAGGCCATCAGCTAAGCGTGAGATTGCGAGGAAAGTACCTGTTTGTCAAGGCTGGTCGCACGAAAACAAAAATTAGGCAAACAGCACGATTACTAATACTGCGTGTCTCATGTCCTTCGTAATATATGCTTGAAGTGCCCCGAAGACATAGCTCACAAACAATGAAAATTGAAAGGTTTTTAGTTGCATAGCTGAGTGAGTTTACACATGCGTAGGCACCTGCGACAAGTGAAAGAACGCACTTACCAGCAGTGTACTTTGTGGGCGCAAAATCCTTGCGAGGAATCAGCTCGCGTCCATGCGGTTCTTTGGTCGGCGTCCATCGGAAACCGATAGACGCGCGCTTTAGGTCCATGAGCATAGTTAGGGTTGCACCCCGGTGCACAGCAGCATCCAGGCATAGTGCGTATTTTACCCAACCATGCTCACACAGCACAAGAGAAAGAAAAAACAGCGTGAGCGGTAACAAAATGCAACTTGCCTACAACCACAACAGCCAGCAGAGCGAGCAAGCACGTAAGATCAATGTGGCCAGACGCACTGTCATGCGCTGCCAACTTCGCTCGGCTGTGCACAAAAATGTTTAAAACGGGAACAAATTAAGTAAATAAGTACATCATGTGAAAGATAGAATATTGCTGAGCTTTTTTTGTTAGACAGTAGGTAATAATTTTCTACAGTTTGCCTACTGAAATTTTGTTTCAAAGCAAAAAAGATTGTCTGTCTATTTGGCGAACAGAATCCGCAAGCCATTCCGACCTCAGCCAGTCGAGCGTTGCTTTCTCACAGATCTCACAGCAGTGACATCACGCTGACGAGACAGAGGTTTGCCGAGGCCTTGAAAAAAGTCTAGGTGGTGTTGTCAGAGTTCTCTTTGTGGAAATGGTGCATAGTTTTTAATGTCGAAGCATTTTAAGTGAACTTCGGCGACTTTAGGCGTATCTATCTATCTATCTATCTATCTATCTATTTATCATCTAGCCGCCTATGACATTTAGCTCTCCTGACCGTTCGGATAATGGTATCGATACCAAACTTGGTATGGTGTACCATGACTGTACGACGAGCATATCTGACCAGTCATAACATGAAAGTCACGATATGTATTCATGAATGTCATGATTTACATTTCATGGTATCGGTGCTCTTGTAGGGTCTCAGTTCACATGACATGTTGCAAAACTTGTATGGTAAAGCATGATTGATTTGTGAACAGCAACGACACCCCCTAACATGAAATTATGACATGCGTGTCATGTAACAACATGCCTACATGCCACACTTATGATGCCCTCGCGGCCATTTCGCTAAGGTCACATATACAAAATTCGGAATTACCGGTACGTGAATTGATGACAAACGCATGCGAATGGTGCCAACATGATAATCATGAGATGCGTGTGATGTAACAACATCACGACATGCCCAGCTCGTGATGCGCTGGCGGCTAGTTTTGCTAGCTTCACTTATACCAAATTTGGTATTGCAAGACGTGAATAGATGACGAAGGTATGAAACTGGTGCAACATTGATAAAAGTGAGATGCGTGTAACGTAACAACATGACTACATGCTACGCTCATCATGCGCTCGCGGGCTGTTTCGCTAGCTACACGTGTACCGAATTCGGTATTACATGACGCAAACGAATGACGTAGGTCAATGACGCATCTAAACATGATAACCATGATATGCGCGTCATGTATCAACATGACTACATCCCCCACTCATAATTCGCTCGTCCGCCGTTTTGCTAGCTTCACTTATGCCGAATTTGTGATTACGTGACGTCAATAGATGACGAAAGTATTTGCTTGCCCAAACATGATAATCACTAGGTGCGTGTCATGTGAGAACGTGACTACATGCCACAGTCAAAGCACCATTACATCTCGAGGTGACGTGGTGTGTGTGCTCGCCGGCATTCATCTTGTAGCGTCACGCCGGCGTTACCACGTCAGGCGTCGGTCCTACCGTATACTCGCAGGAGCACGCCACACTGCGTTGGTTTAACGCATGCGCGTTTCAAAGCATCCGCAACCCTCTGCCACGAAAAGTGCCAGACGCAGTGCTGTCTGAGTAACTCATCGGAGCGAAATGTAGCATGTCACATTTCGCGCCGGTTGCCATCGGGCCACGCCGATGAACGCTGGTTGCGTCGCTGGCACCTGGCGTGAAACTATAGGCACCGTTCAGTCGAGTTTTCTCGACTGAACAACTTAACCTTTTTATGAGAGAAACAGCCAGCCTTTTAAGGAGAACTCTTTTCGTTAATAACAGTTATTTGCTACAGGTCTTGTAGTTTCCTATTATAATTGGTTTCTGCACGCCGTCTGGTGTATTTGTAGCTTCTAGAAAAACGTTGATTACTTACTTGGCACTAAGTTGTATTTATCACGACTAGATTCCGCCGATCGTGGTTCACAAAGCTACTTTTTATGATTGAGCTTAATTTTTCCTGTGCTTCACATCAATTTTTGAAGCCGCCTTGAAGCACGTATAAAACTTAGTTGTATTCATTTCTCAAAACGCTAAGCCTCTAATCTTGAGTAAAGAAATCGATGCCAATATTTGGGTGAATGATAGGTTTCAATACTGGCGTGGAAACTAGTGAGAAGAAAAATCGAAACAAGGAACCTTTACTATCACTCTTGGTCATCAACTGGTGTTCGCATAATATATTTTCCTCAGGATCAAGCACTTACCTGACGTGGACCAGGAATTGGGCTTGGTGGCTGCGGAGGCTGCGGAGGCTGAAATATACAGCATGACAATTGAGAACGGTATGCTTTCAGACGCCTAATGACAACAGTATACATGGTTCAGCAGCAGTGTTTATAAAGTTTGAGTGACAATAAGCTCCTTAATTATGCTCTACGTAAGACGTCCTTCGTAGAAAAATCAACAGATTATGAAGCCAAGAGAAGTGCACGGCACGTTATTAGGCGCAGCTGTGACTCCGCGCAAGACTTTGTGCTGTTTGCGTGAAGGTAGAAACCTTGTTTGAAAATTGCACCACTTGGCTTCTTTCTCATTTTTATCATAAGTAGGATTAGCTATTTTGTGCGTGTCTCTGCGTGTGTATATGTGTGCGTGTTGGGGGGTGTTGGTGACCTGAACCCATTTTCATCAGCGAACTTAAATACAGTGTGATGCCAAGCGAGTCTGACAGCTCGTAAATTCCTTCAAGATATGATTTAAATGCACTCGGTAAAAATTTAACATGTTATGTGGAGACATGCGACGTGGGGTCTGCACAAGCAAATTGCCCATCTTTCAAACGGAAAGCTCAGAGTTAGGCGTACGTCGTCAGCTATCCACGCATTTGCCGCATCACAACCCCCACCACCAGCTCAGAGTCCAGCACCTCACCAACCTGCCTTCTCACACCCATGTTCTTTGCGCAAACTATCGTCATGAACATTCCTCACTCTAAAATGTACCGCACGTTTCAACCAATAAGTGTCAGTTATCGTCACACTTCACCACGCACACGCAAGTGTGAGATGTCTTTATTTATTCGACACAAGCGTATAGTCAACCACTGCGGGTACAGAGACAGCAAATTGTAAAAGCTAAGTTGTCTTGGGCAGGTTCTTTTGGGTTTGCTGTCGTCATAGAGCGCACGCGAAAAGGGTGCGCTGCCTTCACCTGGGCGCAATAGAAGTAAAATGAACCGGCTATAGCTGATCCTTAAAAAAATTGGCAGCATATCCACGGAGTGAATTATAGAGTGTGGGGCGAAGCATTCGTCCATCCATTCGTTCTTGCTTCCGTTCGTTCATGCGTCCGTCTGTGTGACCGTCTATGCATCTACCCGCCCGTCCATGCGTGCGTCCGTCCGTGCGTTCGTCCATGCATCCGCCCCTGCGTTCGTGCGTGCGTCCACCCATGCATCTGTTGTGTGTTCGTTCGTCCATATATTCAACACACCAAGTATCACCATCTCGCATTTTATCATCATATATTCTTCATATAGAATCACCGCCTTCCAGCGGAATTTCCAAGGAATAAACGAGAGGTGGCACACGCACACTTTCTTACGGCTTGCGCTTCGGGTCTACTTCCCCCCTTTAACCTCCTCAAGGGCATGGTATATACTAGTTCACTGTATTCATGGCACTGCGGCCTAACGCTCACTAAAACTTTCTAAAACCAAGGAGGTTACGCCCACTGAGTATAACGTAGCAACTATTTCTTCTCAGATAGTGCTCAATGTACATGCTAATGGCTGCTAATGGGGATTGCAGCGTGCGCCCTAACTAAAAGCCGAATGCACCATTCTCTCATTTCCCATTAGCAGCTATTAGCATGTACATTAAGCACTATTTTAATTGTTCAACAACGCACAAAAGAAATCTCTCACCGGCACCACCTTGGAGGTCAAAATGTTATACTTGTTACACACTATAACGGTTACGAGGGACGAACGGTTTCGCTATGAGAAGCTTTGCCCGTAAAATCACAATTTTGCCCAAATAAGGCTAAACTACGCATTGCGAAGCGTGGGAGTGGCCACTGCTAGGTTGCTTCTTTGATGTAAGCCATAACGGCCACTGGAGCTAAAAGCAATTTTCATCAGCCTGTCTTCTGAACGAGAAGTGGTGAGATGCATTCTTTACAAGAATATATCAAGGCTCACAGTAGCTCCTCAAGAGACACAGCTGCGAATCTCCCAGCTTGTTTTATTATTGAGGAGCAATAAACAGCATAAGGAGCAATGAACAGCAGCCCTTGCACGCCGGGTGATGTTATCGCATTCACCTCCATTGACGGTCATGGCTAGTTTGTTTCATCTCTGCTTCGGTGCTGCTCTTCTGAACGGCTCACGCGCTGTTATGTGTGTGAAGAAAACTCTTTGCGTGCGTAAAGTACAAATTTAAATTTCATTCGTGACGTCATCATTACGGTGAACGGTAAAGCAAAGACCAATGACAGAACCCATATATTTGTTGTTTAAATAACATTTTATTTCATTGGGCCATTCAAATTCATGCAATAAGTGTTAACTAGATTTCATGGAAAGTTTGCAGATTTCTCTAACTACAGTAGACAAAATTTTTTGCAAACTGTGACATTGGAAGGTATGAAAAGTATGAAATTGTAATTTAAGAAGTAAGATGGGCTCTGCCATAGAAATGAACAAGCTCAGATTTCATGAACTCGTACCTCATAAATGAACCCTCGTAAATTAATAATGCAACAATGCTTTATGCAAAGGGTAGAGCCACACCTTTCGCGTTGCTGTCTTTTTTTTGTGACAATGAATTTCAACCATCATGCCAAGCTTCTTAAAAAATGTTCGTACGAATGGAGGGTGAAAATTGCCGCAACAGACCCTGGAGACCACGAGAACTTCTTCTTCTTCTTGTCCTCCGCATATTCCACTTACCAATTGGAGGGGATAGACCGAGTAGAACACGAATTCTTTCCATAAGGGTAGTATAAGGTACTTACGGGACAGCAAGACCCGGCATCCTCACGCTGACAAGAGCTAATCTTTGCGAATATTCCTCCTTTCTACGCAGCATAACAGGCTGGACCAAGCCATCTTTTTCACATCTTTCTAGCGCCAACATTTAGAACATTTGATCATCTGACACTAGTCAATCATATACTTTATTTATACCTTCATTATTTGGTTAAGTCGTGTTACATGATCCACAGGTTACAACTTTTTGAAAGAGTTTCTTTCTTTATTTTTATTTTTTTTTCGTCTACGTGAGTATCTACATATCACACAATCTTATCAGTTTGGATTTAACATAAAATATGCAAACAATTCAAGTTTGACTATGTTTTGGTGTCTACTTTTGTTTTTGGCTACTTTTGTTGTCTTAGATTTCGCATTGTTCCTTCTTAATAACTGAATGGTTTGCGCCTTCCTTTTTTGATGTTGGTTTCTTGTTTTTATTGTGTTACTTTTCTGCTCATATATTGACATTTTCAAACGTTTGTGCACGTTTACGTTTTTAAATGCATTTCTTTGTACATTCGCCCCCTGCTTGGGCCCCCCTTTAGGCTGGCATAGTCTGTAAATAAAATAAAATGGTGTTTTTCTTAGGTACACTAGCCAACTATTTTGAATAGTTGCTGAGTGAACTACCAAATAATGTTATGAGTGCCGAATTTAGCCGGAGAATAATATTAGCCGCAGTGATATAGTTCTGAATGGAAAAGATAACAACCCTCAGGCTTATCTCCAGAGCAGTGGCGGCAAACGAAACAAGAAAATGTTCTGATAGACCAAGGCTCAGTTTTCGAAGAGGAAGTACTAGTATGCTTTTAAATGCGAAGCATTTCTTAGCGAACTTCGGTGACTTTGCACGTATTTATTCTATCTATCTATCTATCTATCTATCTATCTATCTATCTATCTATCTATCTATCTATCTATCCGCCTACGACTTTTAGCTCTCCTGGCCGTTTCGATAATGGTGTCAATACCAAACGATAATGGTATCAATACAGACGCTGGTCGCGCCGGTCGCGCCTGGCGTTTTGCTAATGGCCGTCGCTGTGCCTAGCATGCATGTGCGTCAACTCTACGTTGGAATATATTGGGCCCTTTATGAGGCGCTCACGGCCGTTTTGCTTGTTCCACATATGCAAAATTTGGTGATACGTGACGTCGATGGGTGACAAAGGTATATATAACCGGTGGAAACATGATAATCTTGACACGCGTTTCGTGTAAGAACATGACAACATACCATGCTCATAGCGTGCTCGTGGTCGATTCGAGGAGCTCCACATACAATATTTGTGGTATCACGTGACGGGAATAGATGATGAAGGTAAACGAATCATCCAAACTTGAGAATTATGATACGGAAGTGATGTACGGCATCATTTATCTCAACCTCGAAACGTTGTGCTGATTTTAAAATGATACACCGACCTTTCACATTGATGCTTCGCATATCATCGATTCCTACTGTACGTGGGATCTGCCAATTTATTTTTCAATGCATTGAATTGGCGACAATATATAGAAAAGCACCCAATCGTTTCACTTCCATTGCAGAAAAGAGACAAATTGGAAATCCGTAAACCTATTACGGGAATATAAAAAAACTGCCCCCACCTCCCCTAAAGGTATCGTGTGAAAGTGCAATTGCATTTCTTGCGCTGAGACTACAAGGCAAAGTAATTTGAATGGTGTCATTTATTTTGATTAGAATGATTGGTACCGTTACCATTTATTTACACATTCATCAGCCAGCGACCGGTCGAGAGTGAGGCACGTGCTTTCAATTTGTATATTCGTTCAAGTAGCAAACGGGAGAGTTGGTCGCAGGGAGGAGAAAGAGCGAATATACATTTAGAGAAGGAGCGGTGAAGCACGACACCTGTCGTTGCACCTAATGGCCATAATGTCACCACCTTATCAACACAAACGCTACAGAAACGCTCGCAGCACAAGTGCTACAAACGCGTTTTACAGGCACTGCATTGAGGCGGTGGCAAGTCACGTTCAAGTCAAGAAAGTGGGTGCTCCGGGTACTAGAGGCAAGCTTAAGCCTTTTGCAAAAAAAGTCAGCATTTCCACGGAGTGCATGAGGATGAAAGGTGCGAAGAGTCCGTCAGTCCATGCGCGCCTTCATCGGTTCGTTTGTTCTTGCTTCCGTCCGTCCGTCTGTGCGCCCGTCCATCTGTCCATGCGTCCATCCATGCGCCCATCCGTCCCACCGTGCGTTCGTCTATCCACCCGGGCTTCCGTGCATCTGTTATCTGTCCGTCTGTCAATCCG